ACTGATGAATTTTTACCTTTAACACAAACAAACTGTGATCTATTGGTTGGATGTGATTTGAGTAATGAGTTGCCCCTAATTCCATCAGATTGAAGCTTCTTAATCAAGAAATCAAAAGGGATGCAATCAAAATCTTTGGTGAGGTCAATGTAGTGGATCTACCAGGTCTGCAGCCATACTGTCTACCACGTCAGCTTAACTGGTAGTTTCTGTTACTCAACTTAGCCCAGTCAATAAAGACACAAAATCCACCAATGTCGGAACAAATTAGTGACAAGCAAAACTATATACCACTGGATAGTACACTTAAAGATGTACATTGTACCAAAAATCCCCTAAAATCCCCCCGGTGCTTTCCCCCCACCACCCTCAAAGTCAGGAATTGCAAGGTTTTACTAAATCACTCGTATATCCTATATGGCTAATTCGATTACAATAATCTTCAATTGGTTGTATTTGTCTAGAATAAAGTTCCTTTACACTTTTGCGATAAATCCAAAACCTTCTTCAAAATTAAATGATAAATAATGAAATTGAGCAAATGTTTACGGTGATATTTTAGTTTCTCCGCCGTAGTTTTTTTGTTTGAAGAAAAATCAAAAAAACACTACCTCTAAAGGTTGTAGCATGTCTTTCTGAACACTTTCATATACAGTATATATAAGTATAGGTTTCCGATATATTCATGGGCAGGGGAACGCCTCAAGTAGATGGGCGTCCGAGCCTCGGCGACGCGGCCGCGCCTTGCCGCCTGATATCCGCGAGTGAAGTGATCGACCCACAGTAAGGTACGGATGAGATGTTTATGCAGTATAAACTTTATATTAACGAGTTTTTAACTAATATTAATATATAGATTGTTAGAGATTACATTAGCTGTAGTGTTAAACATATTATTTCTTGATATAATTGTTAACAAAACTCCCACTATTGCATTACTTTTAATTTGTTTCAAATGTCAGTATGCGTATGGCTTATCTCTTTGTAAATCGATAAAAAAAATTATTTGAGCTATGAATAAAAATATTCCAAAAGATAGTCCAATGATGTCCTTTGGTGGATTTACACATGGGCGAGGCATAACAGATATGTAGCACGTTCTAAAAGAGGGTACATGGAATCCCATACTGTTTCAAAGTCCACGTAGCTTCACAGGAGTTCCATGAGACCTTGTTGGCTTTTTCTGAACAGCATGTTGAGACCCAAGAGCCAAGAAAAAGAAAAGCTAAAATAAAACCTACAGTAAGTGGACTTGAAGCTCGCAAGAGCTAATATCGTTAGCATCTGGATATTTCTCTGATCTGTCAACTGATATCATACGACGTAGGTATAACCATGGTGGAAGTAAATAACGCTTAAGTTTTTAACAATTACAAACTATTTTTTCACAACACGCATCGTCCACTTATAATTGATGTCCATGTCAAGTTTCATAATTTTTCCTCAATTCTAACAGTTCAAAATGTTGATGTTAATAGAGCAGTGTCACGCTGAGCTATATACGCGCGCGAAGCGGTTTGCCCCCGAGGTGGCGTCACATCACGATGCGCAGAACGGTCTCAAACTCGTCCGGCTGAGTAGCACACCTTATTTACTTCCACCATGGGTATAACAGCTTTGGAGAAAATACCAGGGCTGTGCGAATCCAGAAATTTTGGTTCGAATCCGAATCATAGCTGTACAGATTTTATCGAATCCGAATATTTTAATTAATCCTGAGTCGAACCCGAATCTCAAATTTACAGCCATTATCGAACCTGGATCGAATCCGAATCTGAAATTTAAAGCTGTTATCGAATCCGAATATTTAAACCTGTTCAGAGTCGAATCCAAATCCGAGGAAAGTCAGCAGTACCAATTTTCACATTTTTAGACCACATTTTCTGGGGCTGAAATAACTTAGGGAATTTCTTAAAAAAATTCTTGAAATGGGCCAAATAAAAAAGTTATAAAATTTAGGCCTACCTATTTGAAGTTTTGAAACTAAAAAATTGGGCATAAGTTAGGCATACCACCTAGGCCTAAGTTACTCGCTAAAAGTGATGGACTACCAATTTGTGTAGTCTAAAACATAGGCCCAGCCTATTATACACCTCGGTGTTAATCCTCCACACAAGCCTATGTCTGCATTACTATTACAAGTAACAACTAACACTGTGAGGTTAAGTTTACTGATAGCCAAGATAGGGTTCAAATGCGACCTACACTAATGTGCCTAAAACCTAACACCAAGTTGGTCAGGTTCCTAACATGAACCAGTCAACAGCAAATCGGAGTGCACATAGTAGAGTTTTTTAGTGTCTAAAAAATTATATTGAAAATTATATTCAATCAGAATCTAGTAAATTTGAATATCGAATCCCAACTCGGATCTATTTCCAAGAAATTCGAATATCGAACCCGGATCTCTTACCAGTAAATTCGAATATCGATTCCGAATCCGAATCTAGTTAGAAATAGTAGATTCGTTCTCGAATCCGAATCGAATCTCTAAAAAGATTCGGATTCGATTCGTTTTTCGAACTATTCGCACAGCCCTGGAAAATACATAAAAACAACTTTGGTGAACTTCACCTACAAGGAGAGACAAGTTAAAAACACAGGCGAAACAGACAAAAGGTAAAAATGAGGTTTCGAGAAGTCACAGTTAATTCAAATAGAAGTCACAGCTACTTTCAATATAAGTTAATAGTTTACGTATGTAACTGGCCACTTAATGACTATTAAAGATTCTTTTGATGATGTTTCCATAAAAAAAAGGAACAAAGTATTTGATTGCAGAATTGATGACCATACATATACAATTGAATCGTCCCACATTGTTGATTCTCGATCCATCCTTATATTTAATACACGTGAAGGCGACTTCTACGAAACACTACTCGTCCATTAATAATGAACGTATTTTTACAAACGATGTGTCAAAATAAAGTACTTTTTGTGTAGACCAATTCCGTATTTCACCAATTCCAGTCATAAAACACCTCGTTGACTTTGCCCCACAAGCCATCAAAATCGCAATGTATTTCTTATGAAGAAAAGATGTTTACTCAAACAGACGAATAATTTGTATTAATTACTGCTGTTCAGTGTTCATAGTAAACCTAAACACATAATACACGCAAGAGCGATCGTCTTCAGAGTGAGTTCGTTTTCAGTTTCAATAACTGGAGTGGAGTGCTTGATTACATTATCTTGGAGTTGACTCTTTTACATCGTAAATTATGACTAGGGTAATTGGTTTTGAAGTGACAACTGTAATACTTTGCAATTGCTCGATTTCAAGCAACAGGGGCACTAGTTAAAATGGCCCGGCAATTCTACCTATGAAGACATTATAAATAACTAATGTAACCATGTTATATCAAAATGTGCTGTTTGACGGATTTCCAGATCCTCCAACGATTTAAGCACGAAGAGCAACTTAGAAGGGCTTCAAGTAATATATCGAGATGTCCAATTTAAAAATAAATCTTTTAGGGGAACAAAAATAATGCAAAATGATTCGTTGCTGGCAGTGCCAATGAAGTTAAAAAAGCGCAGCATCACGACACACACTGCTGAAGAAGATGCTGGTCATGATATTGTTTTTGTGTTGTTGCGAAAATGTATTGAAAACAACAAGTCTTTGTTGTTGGTACGTTCATAGACCAGTTATGTTAGTATAGTTGGCCGCTTAGAAAGCGACCTCCTCTAGCATTGGTTTAGCATTAGCGCACAGGTCGTTTTATAAGCGGCCGAACTATAGCACTGCCTCCCCCTGTTAGTAAATTGCATTTTATAACGGACTGAGTTGCCATAATACAGCAAGTATTGAAGAAGACCAAGACGAAGATGAGCAATAGTTATGTAATACATTATCATAAGAAGCCTACATAACAACAAAAAAGACGAAATACTAGGGAAAAAATTGCCCCAACAGAACAATAAAACCAAAAATATTTAGTAAAGTAAAAGGTTAATTGACGTAGGTAGAATCATTTCACGACACACTGATTCAAGATGAGAGTAAGATCATAAACACTCGAGTCAATATTTTCATTTAAGTTAATAAATGTAAATACTAAATAAGTTTATTACATGTATTATTTAAGGGTGGGTACGAGGTCCGTGATATTCATTGCTATTAATTTCTGCCAGATCGGAATACTGATTTCTCAATTTGACTTAAAATTTTTTTTAAATAAATCAGAAATAAACAAAAATTACCTATATATTTATTTGTGCTAGAGGTCGTCCAGTGGTTGAAGACTCAACTAAAATTATGTATGTAATGTACAGACTTCTCTATTCTCACCCAACGCTGTAAATAAAACATGTAATTGGAATTTCCTCCATTTGTTTTGTTTTTCTGTTTATATTTTGTTGTTATTTCATCATAAGCATGGCGTCCCATAAAGCCTATGTTAATTTTTTTTTTCATATACTTATATGTATATGAAAGTGTTCAGAAAGACATGCTCTACAACCTTTAAAGGAAGTGTTTTTCAATTTTTCTACTAATAAAAAAACTACGGCAGAAAAACTAAAATATCAGCGTAAGCGTTTGTTAAATTTAATATTATTTATAATTTAATTTTGAAGAAAGTATTGGATTTATCACAAAAGTGTAAAGGAACTTTAATCTAGACAATGTATTAAGGAGTACAATCAATTGAAGCTTATTGTAATCAAATGAGCCATATAGGATATATGAGTGATTTAGTAAAACCTTGCAATTCCTGACTTTGAGGGGGGGGGGGGTGGGGGGAAAGCACCGAGGGGATTTTAGGGGACTTTTGGTAAAATGTACATCCTTATGTGTACTATCCAGTGGTATATAGTTTTGCTTGTCACTAATTTGTTCCGACACAAAACTTGTATTGACTGGGCTAACTCCTGACTGAATTGTGTTGGTGTATAGTTTGAACAAATTAAAGTACTAAAGTAGAAATAGGGTAGGTAGTCAAGCTTCATTACCATACTGTATTTATGATCATCATATATTGAATATTTTTCAGGAAATCAAACTAAAGACTGAAGCTGACTGGGGTGACTTATCACAATGCTTTGTCAGACTAAAAACTACAAAGGAAATCAAAATACCAACGAAAATAGAAGATGTATGTATTGATTAGTTAAAGTACATGGTTGAGCTTAATTATTTAAGTAGAAATAGTTTTTTAGTCATTCTGCAGCAAAAAAAAAATTGATAGCACAATAATCTAGACCATAGGCTAACCAACACACGAGTAGACTTCTCATCCCATTGTAAATTTGGAAGCTCATTTAAGGCTGTGGTTTCCTAGACGCGTAATAGATGCGCTGCGTGTGCGCATCTAAGACGCAGCACACTTGTCTTATGGAGTTTTGTGTAAGCGGTTTCCTAGGCTGCGTATCTAACGCGCGCGCATCTAATAAGTGCGCATCAATAGCTGCGGTTTTGACCGACTGCTTTCAGAGCAGTCGAATCTGAGTTACGCTGCGTTTTAGACATGTCTTTGTGCAATGGATTCGGAAGTAAATGTTATCCAGAAGGCAAAATTCCCAACAACAACGAACAATTGATTGAATTTGTCTCTTGTAATGACATATTATGGAAGTACGTTAATTGTTCATACAATTAAAATTTTTATAGTATTACATTTCATATGATTCGATATGTAGTGTTGATTTCCCCATAATGTGTAATATTTAATTCCCTTATTAAATCCCTACAATTGATTTGTCCTCACATATTTTCTAATTGCTGTAATTTGTAAATAAACCAAATGTTGACAAATATTCTTTTCAAGTCAGCACAACACCAAATTCCAAAATATAAGAGCCCCCATAATTATTTTAAGAACTCCTGAACATCTTAGTAATAAGCCTAATTACTAGCAGAGTGCCCGTCCGTCTTACGGGGTTGGCGTATAAGTATTAAGTATGAAATGCTTATTGCAGTTACACTCGTAAAATGTATTTTCGTCTATTCGGTAAATCCCGAATAGGTAAATATAATAACAGTAAAAGCTGGAGAGGGTAAATTAAGATTTATCGTTTACATTTTAAATTGACATGTTTGCTTTAATACTACGGTTAAAACATCCGTGAGGGCCACATACAGTTCCTAATCATGTACTTTTCACTGCTTACGCTTCTTCGAAGCTTTTAATACCAAAGTATCTATTTCATTATATCTAAATCATCCTATAAAATCATAGAAGCCACTAGTAAACTCTCCCGTGAACTTATGTTACACACCGACCGTGTGTATTGTACGCAGTCTTGGAAACCACTCACGACGGCTGCGTTTTGGGACCTGGATAAAAGCCGCAGCGTATCTAAAACGCTGCGCATCTATTAGGCGTCTAGGAAACCACAGCTTTAGCGAATTTCCCTATAGGGAAGTGGCTATTACTGTAGGTGGCACGGTAAGACCTAGGCCCAGGACCAATTTACTTTTTCATTTTGTCCAGAGGCCAAAAACACTATACGTTCAAATTTTTATTTATGTATATATATATAGAGAGAGAGATTTATATATACAGTGTGTAAATTAAGTCTTGAAACATCTGTATTTTTAAAATCGAAATAGATAGAAATATTCTGTTTGTAGCAAAGTTTGTTCTTAACAAAGGTTCCACTATTTTTTTACACCAAAAAATGTTATAACCCCCCCTAATAGGGTAGGGGGTAGGGGGTGACTTATTTTTTTCAAATAGCAACCCCTATTGAGTGACCCCTCATTTTGAAGGGCTTGTCAAAAGAAACACAATGACGCAACTCCGAGGTGAATATCTCACCCCTAGCCAACACACTATAGTTGCTGTGCTCTGGTGGCGCTGCCTACAAATTGACAGGCAAAGCTCTCTCCCCGAGTACTTAATGCTTTTTACCATGCGGTTAGCATTCTGGGTTATAGTTAGTATGTATTCTGTGCTGAGGCCCATAAATTTGACGCAAAGAATCACCTTACCAAATGAAATACTTAGATTTTCATTTGCAACAGTTTTAGAAGAAGAATCAAGCATCTAATTGGCCATGGGAATTTGACTTCTACTCATATCCTTAAGAAGGATATTTAAACTTACATCACTCATTGATGTATTATTGATGTGTTATATATGTATTAAGGTTGGGTCTTTATTTTTCATATGTGAGGTTATAGGTTTTATTTTATATTGAAGGAATTACTATTTGGTCCTTAAAATACTGCTCCACAAAAGAAACTTTTTTTTACCACAAGGACAAAAAACAATTTGCAACATAGTTAAAGTAGTAATTCTTGGGAACGGATTAAAATATAGAATCAACATGTTTAAACATTTACTCCCTTGTTAAGCAACGAGCTGTGTTGAACCAAACAGTTGATTTTGTTTTTCGTGCTTCCAAAAATCTGGTTTACATTAGCTCGAGCGTCACAAACAGTTGGTATCATCAGTCATTATTAATGTAATGGCACAGCCTAGTACAAGAGTGGCAAGGTCAATTTGCACTGAACACCAACTTAAAATAAAATTTTTTCACATTGTTCTGTACATTATCATCTGAATCCCTTGTAATAAAAAACCATCTTCCTCAATAAATCACTGTAAACCCCTCTAGTTAGCCTGAAAACAAAGCTTTTGTCGAATAGTGTTTTTGAAATTATACAATGACAAATAGCAATAATAATTGTTTGCTACATTTTGGAGAAAACTAAGTCAGAAAAACTTTATTCCAAAAGGGTTTTAAAAAGTTTGTATTCCTAGTGTTGTAAGTAATCTCCATCAATAACCATTATAGCCATAGCAAACAAGCGTCTAGGCAGCCAGTGCAACTCCGAGGATCGTGGATCAGAACTACACCCCCCACCACCGCACCATGTCGTACGCTTCCGAATCGTACCGGCGCATCAGCATAGCCTAACTGTTCCCACAAAATTGTTATCTCTATCACTGTCCCTGTCAAAACGTATCGTTTGTAGGTTAAATTTAAATTAAAAATAATTAAACTGTCATTACCTAACCAAACTAACCAAACTTGCTGATAATGAAAAACTCGAATAAAGGTTTACTGATCGAAAAAATAGTTCTGTTCTAAAAATCAAATTATAAATGTCTCAAATTAAATTTTTTAATTATAATATTAAACTGTCATAACCTAACCAAACCAACTAAACTTGCTGATATGAAAAAAATTGTTGACAAAAAGTTTGTGCTACCAGCGGGATTCGAACCCGGCACCTTTCGGTTATCAGCCCAACACGCTATCCACTACACCACCAAGGCTCATGACTTGGCTCCGTATCGTTGCTGTAATGGTTGACGTCACGCCATCGGCACGGAGCAGTGGTGGGGGGTTTCCGATCTGATCCATGATCCTCGGAGTTGCACTGGCTGCCTAGACGCTTATCCATAGCAACACCTTAGTAAAATTCATCCATTTTATTCCAGTAATATAGTTGGACTAGCAGAGTACCCGTCCTTCGTACGGGGTGTTCGTATAAGTATAAAATACCGTACTTATTGCAGTTATACTCGTGCTGTGCGTTTGCAATGGGAGAGGACAGGGTTTGAGAAGATTTGGTTCTTTAAATTTACAGTACCGCTATCGTATAACACATCTACGATAGCCATAGCCCATAATGTTCTACCTCTGCACCTCAACAATAGAAAAAGTAAATGATCAAACATTTGCACAATATCACAAATTATTTATTAAATTAAAATAATAAACACAGCTGTAAACTATACTACTTTTACAGTGACAGTTCTCATTGTGTATCATAGCCTTTTGTTGCTGCTTAGTTTAAATGAGTTTTGCTTAGGTAGGCGTTGTTGGTAAACCTTGTTATTTTGTAATACTATTAAATATCATAGGACGAACTTGTTTAGTTGAAACAGCTAGCAAAATTCTTTAATTCCTTCCAAAGCATCCTTTCCCAACAGTCTCATCGGATATTGATCGCAACATATAGAGATGGGGAATGACTAGAGAATATTGATGGGGATGTACGGAACATGGCACTAGTGTTAGATTTGAAGTAACTTCCTTCGTCGCCAAGGGAGCTCCTCGAAATCTTAATTTAGATAACCCTCTAAATTAATCAAAATGTTTTTGCAGAAACACTCAAGGTTATTCAATTTCAATAACCTATTCTGCTATTAAATTATGCTATTTTACTATTTATCATTGTTTTTGATTCAAAAAAATTTGTTTCAGGAGGGTCCAAATATTTTTAAAAGCGTCAGTTCAAAATGTATATTGAACTTGACTCCAGTTGTCAAGCTTAATAGAAATCAAGAGATAGAACTTGCTGTTCAAGAAGGGAAAAATCAGTTAATGGTGGGTAAATTTTGAGTTAGAATCCCTAAAAATACTGATGGATTGAATTCAAAGTTTTCTATGAAAACAGATTGTCTTGAAAACTACAGGGATCAGCAGGGAACGTAAACGTATGCTAAGCGTTTCAATATTCTAGTACTCCATACCTTTGCCAAGGTTATTTAGACAAAACTCTTTTTTCATTATTCAGTAGCCTAGTTATAGTAGGTGTGTTTATTAAGTGTTTTACTCAATGTCTTTTTGTGAGAGAAAACACATGCTTTTTAGAAACCGGCCTAGACAAATTTTTGCTTTAAACATTGATAAACGTTTAATAGAATATGATCTTCATATCTTTAAATTGTCCTTTTGTTGTTTAACCATTTCCTCAATTTTCAAGTAAAATTAAAAAAATTTTTATTCACCTCCTAATGCATATAAGAATACATAAACAGAATTTAGTTTTGTAGGAAGTAGATGTGGTAGTGACTTAGAGTATGTATTTGACTAGCCAGTATGTTTGCATGTTGAAGAGATGTGACCATTTTTAAACTTCCGACAGATTGACCTGATGTCATTTACTGATTTCTGGCACACAAACTGTTCAGTCAAGAGTCAATACAATCTGAAAGATCAACTTACTGTAAACTATATCATTTTATGTATTGTCAAAACTGACAGAGCATCAAAAACAAAGGAAGATAAGGAATTTGGACAATAGCTCACTGTGGGAGTGGCTCATTCAACTATATTTTTTACTAATAACATATAATAGCTAGGTAAGTTAGACTTGTATCTTAATGCCTCTGCGCTCTTTTGAAATCAAGGATGAGAGTGCCTCAAGAAAAGATGCTAAATAGATACAACTTCATCTTACAATGTGTTGAGGTCTCAGATAATCCTCAATTCTGAATAAATTGTTGTTTTGTTTTATGTACAGAGAAAATGTGTCCAGTCAGTTATATCGGATATGAAGTCAGAAGTTGATCAATTGACAGTCCCTGTTGTACTGGGTGAAATGCGTGAAATTCATGAATGCATGAAGGAGTTGATGGAAGTAAACGATGAAGATCACTGTGAAGACAATGCGGAGGTATGTAAACATTTCTGATATTTTAGGAATCATTTGTGGTTCTTTTACTAAACAAACATGAACAATTTTTTGACGTTAGGGATCTGAAATTATGTTAGACAGTACCACAGATATGAGAACAGAAACATTATTGATCATAAACATGAACCGTAACTGTTTGGATGTAGTACTCTACTAAAAAAGTTAGCCAGTGCTACCCTGGAAAAAGTCTTGCTGTTTATGGTTTATGATTTCAGTCAGTATCAAACCTTTTACTTAATCCTTTCAACTTTCATCCCTCACTCATCTACACCTCAAAATACGGTTCTTGGAGTCGGAGTCATAGAAAACAAGATTAGCTCACACAGTACAGCTATGTAGTTAGAAATCTTACTAAGGATTACATAATACCACACAGTGGCGTAACATTGTTAGCACTGGCAATTAAGTAAAATATTCTATTTTTATTTTTGATATACACTTTTATTATTCATCGTAAAGAACAAATTACCATTTAAAATAATAGTTGTTAAGCGCAGCAATGCACGCTGGGTAACTGCTAGTAAAGTTATAATAAGCCCTCGTAACTTTGGAATGGATCAAGATTTTTAAGAACAGTTTGTGTCATTCTAATCAGGGTAAAAATTTAATTCGAAATAATGGGTCACAACCCCACATTTAGATTTGAAAAAAAATATTTTGCATCCAATATGGTGAATCCAAGATGGCGGCCGGAAATGACCACCTTGTCAAAATGAAGTATTTACTACCTAACAATGTTGGAAGTGGTCTGGGGTTTATATCTATATATATATATATATAAACATAGGCCAATATACATATATCAAATTTTTAACAAATAGTGTTTTTGGCCTCTGGGGGACATCAAAATGAAAAAGTAAATCGGTCCCGGGTCTATGACTTATCATGAGACCTACGGTAATAGCTACTTCCCTATAGGGGAAATTCGCTAAAATCAAATTTATTTTCTCAAATGGTGTCATTACATGTATACAACACAAAATAGGTCATCTGAGATTCGCAGTATTTTGGAAAATTCTTTGCAAAACCACACAGTCCTTGATTTAATGTGCAGAAAGAAATATTTATGTTGGCTTGAATTCAGTTAAGTTTTAAAGCCTAATGATCAACAGCAATGTTTTGTAATCTTATGTATTATAAACAATAAAATTAGCAAAACAGTGTTTAACTTTGTTGAATTCAAACAAATGACTTATATTACGTTTTCAAAATTGATGGTATTGTAAACTAACATAAAGATTTTTTTCAGCCCTTTGATAATGACGATGAGCAAAGTACCTCTTCCGAGACAAACAGTAATGGCAGGGATTTTGATGAAGAGAACCAACTAAAATATTCAAGTTGTACTTTTTTTGTTTGTGATAAATGCAATCAATGTTACAGGAGTAGAACCCTGTTGAAAACTCACTCCTGTCCTTATACAAGCACCAAACATTGCAATAATTGCTTCAGGACATTTTCAGACGAAAATTTCAAAACTCATGTTTGCAAAGTGCAGGAAGGGATGTTTAGATGCATTCACTGCCGTGAGTGTTTTAAAACTAAAAACCTTTTAACAATTCATGAAAAATATAACTGTTCTCATGAAACTTATACTTTTAAATGCTCAGATTGCGGAGAAAGGTTTCGTCTGAAAAGATATTTGGAGACACACATTCGGAAGCACAAAGATTTGCTAAACTTCCATTGTGCAGTTTGTAAAAGAGCTTTCTGTCAAAAATCCCACTTGGAAGTGCACATGGCGTCACATTCAGAAGAACGCCCCTACAAGTGTGACCAATGTGACAACAAGACATTCAAGAGACTGAAATCTCTGGAACATCACAAGCAAACTCACTCTGGTGTGAAAAGTTTTCAGTGCCAAGATTGTGGCAAGTATTTTTTCTCGTTGTTTCATTTAAAGCATCACAGAAATAGCACACACGAGCGACAACATGTTTCATGTGGTCTTTGCAACAAAAAATTTGCTCGTAATTATAATCTGAAGCTGCATATGAGATCTCACACAAATGAAAAGCCGTTTGTTTGTCATTGTGGAAAAGCGTTTGCTCAAAATAGTTCGTTAACCTTGCATAAACGTGTTCATGATGATGTCAAACCTTACAAGTGTGAGAAATGTAAGGCCAAATTCAAACACTCCTCTTCTTTAGTGATGCATATACGATGTGTTCACACCAACGAAAAACCCTATAAATGTGAGAAGTGTAGCAAGACCTTTAGTCAAAATAGCAACTATCGCACACATATGAGAATGCATGCGAAAGAATATGTAAACTGTGGTATGTGTGGAAGTATGTACACCACCAAAGGAAATTTGAAATTACACATGAAAAATATGCACAATGATCGTCTCTTTAAATGTGGGGTTTGTAAGAAATTGATTAAGTCTAAGTATGAGTTTCAAAACCACACCAAGATTCACATTAAAGGAAATGATTTGTAATTTTTTTTAGTTTTCCACATCAATGAATCAAATCAAAATTATGTGAACACTAGCAACAGTGCCCGTTGTGGTTAAATACAACGGTCTCTAGTAAAATAATGGTTATGAAATCCATACACCACTTTACTCGCTAATATAAATGGTGCAGTTTAAGCACATAACATTAGAATCATACATTTAACATAAGGAACACACATAAATGCAAATTGTTAACTATTTATATATAGAATAGATGGTTTAACTTGTCAACAATGTTAGCTGCCATGCCGATTTGATTGGGTCAAGTAACTTGATCAAGTAGAATATCATGCTAAACTGATTGTGACATCCTCTTGGAAATATGTACAAGTTTCACTGCTATTTAGTGCCAACAATCGAAATGCAGAACAATGAAATAACCCAAGCAGGTGACAAGAAAAGAGCAGAAGGAAAACAGCTGAAGTGGCCATGGCAGTTAACCTTTTGTATTATCTAAAAATAGCTAAGTAACATCTATCTAATACATCTCCATCCCATTACAGTAGAACTTCAATATAGTTCAATAATCCCAGTTGTCTTACACGGGCCTTGATGACACGTCGGTAGGTGCCGATGATGGGTCTACCAAGGTCTACTAATAGAGCCTCCTTATTGTTTTCGTGCATGGAAAAACTCAATATTATAATTATCCCAATTATTTACTTTTTTTCAAACTTTTAAAGTAAAAAGCTGTTGAATATAAAAAACTATTTATACAGTAAGAATTCAAAGAACGTACAGTAAAGATGTAAGTTGATACCTTTGTTTATTTATATTTTTGTCCAGTTTTATAATATTCATTAAATATATTTGCTTTATCTCGAATTGTAAATACTCCTTCTGTTAGTCAAATATACTCCCTATTGTTCATCACCCTCTTAGCTCACAAAGTGTCCAACTAAGGAGGTTCTGCTGTAAGCTATACAGTTATATGCAGTGTTATACTTACATGCATTTGTCCAAAGACAAGCCTGCAGTTCAAGGGTACTGATACTTATTGGCTTATAGTTATCAAATAAGGTATAAGTTGACAATGTAGAAATCAGAGAAAACTTATGCTGTTGCTGTTACTACAGCTGTGTCATGGGACACAAAATCTGTGGTTAGTACTTTATATCCCAGTTAAGAGTCCTTGGAGCCTAAGACATTATAACTCATAGTAATAAAACAATTACAAAAGTAGGAAACAAAATCCCACAGTGATCTAGATATTTAAATTACAATCAATTTGGTATTTAAAAAAAAAAATGTGATAATAAATAACCCTTCAACAGTTGTTTGGAATAATCGAACATGGCCGCCAGCCTCCAAGGATTCCCTCTTCAGGTTAAAACCTAATATTGGTTTTAATGGGGTGGATATGGGTATTACAGCATGTACATCATAGTGGAGCTAGTCAGAAGTTTTCAAAAGTACAATCAACAAAAAAAATACTAAAAGACGTAACTTTTAGGATTAATTAAGAATGTTGTTCAACGGTTTATGAGGACATTTTCATTTTCCATTACGATGGTAAAAAACAATACACAACGTTTCTGGATCTTGAATCTGTACTGAAACTGAGGTATTTTATAGACTATAGTGTTTTGTGATTGGTTATTATTTGCATGTTGTATCATGACTTGACTGTTATACAGTGCATATTTTTTTACTGCTACCTTCTGTGGTGTATTCCAACTTAGGTTGGGCATTTGTGTATTGTTAGTTGTAATGTGTTAGTTAAGTTTTTTTCACCTTAGGATGGGATCAGATTCCAGATCCCAAAACGTTGTGTATTATTTTTTACCATCGTGATGGAAAATGTCCGCAATAAACCTTTGAACAACATTAACTCACCATCACCAACAATGAATTTCAAACAAAGAATTAAGAATGATCACGCTGTCGCCTTTTAGCTGTATTCACCCCTAGCTTCATACCTTTTGTCCTTTTCTTGCACATTGTCAGTTTTGTAAAATAATATTGGACTTCAATGACAATTTCCTTTTGAATTTGGTTGTGGTTGCTATTGTGATAACCTTTCAATTTCACTCTTCAACTGTTAGATGAAAATATGTTTACCTACAACCATTATTTGAACCAAATTTTTAATATACATTTTTTTTAGCAAAAAGATTTGCTTTGTTTACTTACTTTACAGCACTAGTGTTGTAAAGTAAAGTGTACCAATGGGGTTCAAGTATTGAGGGAAAAGAAGTAAATTTGTAATACTTTGAAAAGTTTAAGCCAACTTATCTAATCATTTTGTTTGATTTGATTTAAATGTTGCAAATAAACTTTTCCAATGTATTCATTATTGCTAAAAATATGTAATATTTGTCTACTTTTATCTGAAACACTATTTATAGTACGAATGGTGGTAGCTGTGTTAACTCTCTAAAAAAAGTACTGGTAACAGAAAGAGAATATGAAAATGAAGTTTCACAAATGTAATATAAAAACGGTTGTTGGTAAAGTAGGTAGTGTAAGCAACTCTCTTAATTAGCCTTTACGATATTCATAGAAAATTTATATTTGTGTCCTAAAAGACTATCTGTACTGTATGTGACAGTTAAGTAAACTACGATAACCAACTGAAGCATGAACATGTTTCTGTAATCAATGCAGGCAATTATAACTTTATTTGTTTATTGACAACCTAGAGGTAGCTCCATTATGATCTGAAAGCTATTGAAAATTAACATTAGAAATACTGTACCACTAAACTGTGATTATGAAGTATATTTTTGTATTAGTTTTAAAGAAAAAGATGTTAGAGATTAGAGAGTTTGAAAAAGAGATGTGATGATTCTTTAGCGTAAGCTTAAAATATTCATGTGTGCCATTGGTAAATTATTTATATACACTACATTTTTAGTGCATGCAGTGGTGTCGGTAGGAAATCATTAACTTATTTTCTTTTATGATGATTATTTATTGGAGTAAAGGGGTTGTGATACTTAAATACTTTTGATGCAATTTTAAAGGTGTTTAAATAAGTGAACCTCACACTCATAGAATTATGTAATCAAAGCCAATACAAAGTTATCTAGTTAATGAATAATCTTATGAATGACAAAAAATAGGATAGTGCTATGAACAACTATTGTGTATTAGTAGAAGTCTGTTGTTGAATTAAGACATGTACAATCTTTGACAGTAATGTATGGTATACTCTTGTTGCTTTTGTAAATAAAATATTCAAACAATTGATAAAAATGAATTTTAACTACCGGTATACAGTTGCTGTTTTTAGAGTTGCTTTTAACTGATACTGAGGTAAAACTCCCAGAACAAATTGATCAGATCATAATTGTTGATAAATAATGTTAATTATAATAGGATTCTAAATACACTTTTCTTACATTCATTTTGATCCATATCAAAACCAGGCTTCATGTTTGAGAATAGGATGAGAAGTCTACTATTGTACTAGTACTACTAGAGTGTAAAGTCAATAATTAAATCCTTGCTCAATGAATTATGATGAATTATTCAGCTGTTTATGTTTAAGATATTCTTATACTCCAGAATTGTACAGTATCCATTCATAGTTTAAGGTCACAGTAAAATTATTACGACTAATAAATGTGATATAATATATTTATTTATTTATTGAAAGGTTTCTTCATTATACAGTTTTGCACTAAAATTGATATCTTATACTTTTGTAAAAAAATATACTTATTTACCTCTTCATTTTTGTAATTTTTTTGCTCGTTGTACTAAGACGGTTGTAATAAATTGTCCTAAAATACATGGTTTTTTTCTTCACCCTTCTTTCAGTTAATTTCAATCGAGAGTAAAATAAATTTGCTCTCCCAACCAACCACCTACCTAAGCCCAAAAACCAAGCTCCATAAATTTTTCTGAGGCACTGAAAAAAGTTTGAAAGTAGAGAAAAAAAATTAAATACATCCACCTACATTTACACAGGCTGGTTATTAAGTCTATTCCCTCCTAAAGTAAAGTTCTCATTGTGTACCACAGCTTTTTGTTGCTAGTTGATTCAAATTAGCTGCTGTCATAAATGCAAAAAAAAAATAATAGTGCTGCACTCTGTAGGTAAACCTTATAACTTTTTAATGCTATTTAATATCATAAAACCAACTTGTGCAAGTGAAATAGCTGATAAAATTCTTTAATTCCTTTTTAATATTAATGCTCATAAGGTTAAAATGGGAAATTCCAGAGCCACTGGGGCGGAATCCGAAAGGATTTTTTAGATAAGAATATGTCTATATGTTAATCGGGAATGTGAGCTATCATCATACCCCCAACCCTGTCAGCTTAGTATTTTTTGCGTTTACTTGTCACAAACATTAATCCATCCTTCCATACATCCAAACTTTCTCACTTAAAACATTAGTAGGATTATTAATTCAATTGGAAAATATTTCAGTTCTAGGCATATTTCTCCTTTAGGGAAGGAGCTATTACCACAGGGGGCAATAGACCATTTACATGATAATATTAACAAATCTATTTTGCAATTAATATTTTTTTAAAGATTTTGGGTCGCAAAATTAAACCCAAGAAGTAGGTGGGTCGCTAGACAAAATTTTTTAGAAACGCTAGATTACAAGAAAGGTCTTAATATTTAATTTTAGTTTGAACCAAACGATGTGCGTCAACCATGTGTTTGCGTCATTTACGACAGTGAGTGATATATGCCAATGATGTTGGCAATTAAATAGCGAAAAACACCTGACATACACCCAAAGTCACACAGCAAAATTATTAGAGCTGGTGTATAAATATCGAGTTGATACATGATGTCATCTATCGATTTATCAGGCCTAGAAAGTGTGCAATGCTGACATATTGATTGCCGATAATAATATTTAATTGTACAACGAACCCTGGTATATATTTGGAAGAATCATTTGCTTAAACCACTCCACTTTTAGCATGGCGAAGATACTTCTGGGAATCTGCTGCCTTATGGTAAGTACCTACCCGATACAGGTTTATATGTGGTTAGTAATAGAAACATTCAACTGAGCAAGCCTTGCTCAGTAGTACTATATTTAATTATTAAGTAATAAAATAAAGTAACATTTTAAGTAATAAATTATAAGTATCGATGACTGGGACGGGTGGCGTCGTCCTGTAATCCAGCTACTAGGAAGTCACGAATTGTGGATATTTATAGGGATGCACTGTGGATGCGATGCTCCCTGGTGTGGATTAACGTCCGCACTAGTGAGTACTACGACTATCCGCAGTACTATCCTGATAATTAGACCAATTCGTAAATTACAAGGGAAAATGTGGTTCGGATTCCACTATAAACTGTAGGTCCCTTAGTTGCCATTAGCTGTATGGGCTATTAATTAACAGCTGTGTCTAAGGAACATGTCGGCCTTAGTCACTAACAAGACTACAAGATCGCGCCACTCATCCTACACTCATCCTTCACTCATATTTGGGTTAAAATACGCACATAGTGGCGTCCCCATCTTAAATAATTGATAATTGATAATTGATTGTTCAACATTGTTTCAATTCGATTATTCTTCATTTTAAAACTTTTCATCCCAAACAAAGACAGTAGTCTAGTCAGCGGCTCCCAATTGGTGGTACGCATGGACGTCTACGGACGTCTACGGTGGTACGCGTTCAAGTATACAAAGCAGAAAACTGACATAAATAAAGTAAAATTATTCTTTCATTAAAAAAAAATTGTTTTTAGACTAAAAATATTAATATTCAAAAAAACTAAAATGAATATTAGGATCTTATTATGTTTAAGAAATTACATTTTCAGCAGGAATTTTTGATTGGACTGTACACTCCCCACGCCATCCCTCATGCCAGCCATCTCCGTCTCGTCTCAGCTGGTGTGATGGCTCGAACTCGACGTTCCACCCTCCCTCTCCCTCGCTCTATCTCACTCTGGTCGTTTTGACTTTTTTAACAATCATAAATGAAAATTAAATCCATCAAAAAGTAATTTTGTTTCCTTTGAGACTGCTCAGTGCAGGAGAAAGTTTGAACCCACAATTGCAATTGATTCTAAGCTAGAAATTGAAAAGTCAACTAGATTTTTGGGGTTGGAAATAGATGAGAATTTGATAATTAGACCAATTTGTTAATACCAAGACAAAAATGTGGATCGGATTCCACTATAAACTGTAGGTACCTTAGTTGCCATTAGCTGTATAGGCTATAATGCTGTGTCTAAGGAATGAATATGTTTGATAACACATGAAATAAAAATACCGTCCGTCATACCCACTCACCATAGATTAGCATTTTATGAAAACCCCTTTATATATTGAAGCAAAGTAACTACATAGACTTCCTATTTTGTTAAAAACTGAAAATAACATTAATAAATTTAAGAAGATGTTAAAAAAAATACCTTTTTCACAAACCAATATACTCGTTTGAGGATTTTTTAAATTCTTAGTCAAAGTCATAAGTTTTTGATTTGACACTATTCTCATGTGCTATGTGTGCATATTGTGAATAAAGATGATTTGACTTTGAGTATACTTTCTGGAGTCGAAACATGAATAGGCTTAAAAAGTCTCAATGATTCACTACAGTAAAGTGACCAGTGGATAGCCTATTAATTAGGGCCTACAAACAAGATATTCCCCAAAGACAATGTAAAACAGGAATGTAACATAACATGAACATCAGTCAGATGGAGTTGGTTGGCTTGGAATGATTAGCTGGCAAAACCATTTCTGACCAAAATAATAAAAATGTTCTTGGGACTTGCTTATAGCCTGACTGGAAATCTAAATTATTCCTATGTCTATTAAAATGACTAGACGTAAATGTGATTTTAAAGGTACAGAATTGACATTTACTTTTACATAAACTAGACATACAAAAGAAATAAATTAAAAACAGAAAGTATTTTTTCTGAATGAACAAATTCTGAATGATATAATGGGCTCTGTACTTAGAAAATTTTATAATTCTTAGTGCCTTCTTTTGTTGGAGCAAAGTTCTATTTGACCACTGTCCCCAAAGTAAAATGCCATAGCTTAAAATATGGTACCGTAGCGAAGAATCTGGTAAACGAGCCCAAAGTCAAAAGTACGGTATTATATGTTTTATGATTAGTAACTTTGCTATTATAGGTGAATATGTGTAAGATATTGCGCATATTTCAGACAATAAATTGAAGGGATGGTGATAAATTGAATGATCCATTAGTCGAAAGCCGTCCTAATGCTTTATATTTCATGTTACCCTGCTAAATTTTAATTTATTTTATAAATTGAATTTTTTCTACTCAGAAAATTAATTGCTTTAACAATCATCCCGAAGGATAATGGATAATAAAATCTATTTATACTTATTTAATACGCAAGCAGGATTTTTGTGACAATTACTCCTCCGAAACTACTGAACCGATTGACATGTTTTTGGTGTCATTGGAAAGAGCGTAACGTGAAGTTGTGCAGGAAACTTTCTTTTTGGGGAAATAATTAGAAAGTGAGGCCTGGGGGCCCTTTGAAGTTTCGTATTTCTCCATAAGATTAACATGGGAAACACATATTGTTATGAAACTACAGCTGTTGTCAGAAATGCTGTTCTGCTATTTAATTTAATTTGTTTACAAGGAGAATTGTTTCTTGGTACCATGTGGTCAATGAATTATACTTTTATATATATATTCAATGCTATACACTATATAAAATGATAGTACTGTAATTAAGAGATCTGAATTTAAATAATCAATAAGCAGGATTGAGCTTTTGCCTATGTGTTTCCTGGTAAGTGTGTTGTAACTGTTTCTCATAGTAAATTATAGTATCTTAAAGTAAAACCGAATTATTCTTTTCTGCATTTTCACCCCGTAGCGAAGCACGGGCAGAGCAACTAGTAGTAATAAAATGTACAAGCTGCTATTTTGCTGTATTTAAAAAACTATTTTGCCACATAATTAAACATAGTTTTTTTTCAGGCAATGATAATGAAATCAAAATCAACAGCAGAGGTAAGATATTAACGTATAAACTTTTATGTAGTTTGAAAAAGTATTAGCCTCTTTAAAAAACTTGTACTAATGTGCTATGTTAGAATTTTTTTTTTAAGAATTGAATTTAGCTAGCTTACCTGAGAACATTAGATAAGTCTAGGGGCTAAATTAAGTAAATAGCTTTTTACAATTAAGCTGATGTTTCATTAGCAATTATTTGTAATTTTACTAAGATGCATCGAAGAGATCACGTACACAATGAAAATCATATGGGATGATTGTTTCACCCTTATTAACTATATCAAACATATCACAGAATATGAAGTCACAAATTGACACAGGCTGCTAGTTTTCATGTATTGGAAAAGTTTGAATCGATTAACAAAATTTGCAATCTCCATTCAAGATAAACCTAAAACTGTAATACATTTTAGGCTTGCTTTACTGATATAGTGAGTATGTATTATCATATACTAGTATGTTTTATCTGTGATATTAAATAGTGCAAAAGAAATTCATCAAAGGAAACCAAGGAAAAGCAATAATTGACTAAGATCATAGAATAAATATACTTCGCTAAGATTCTATGTCTATGATGTACCAGTACTTCAACTTTCATTTGTTATTTCAACCTCCAATATCAATCAATAGGACCAATTATTTAAGAACTACCTTCAAAGCCTAGTGAAATTATTACAACAATTATTATAAGTCAATAGATTTATGAATGCAAATAGAAAATTGGTATACCAAATCTCTTTTATTTGCTTTAAGGTATTATTATAAATCAACGTCAATAGTTCTTGTCTGTAATAAAATGTATTACAATCGAAAATAGGCTAAATGGTTTGATTTACAGTGCTAATTATTCTTAAAATTAAATCGTTTATAATTTAGTGGTTATAGTGAATTCATTTATAGAAAAATATAAAAGAGCTTTTTTAACTTCTCAGCAAGGACTGCTGTTTTCTTTGATGTAGTAGCAGTAGCTGCTGTTGGTGAGAAATCTATTAAACAACTTTATACTTAAATATTTATAACTGTTGTGGGTTAGTGTTAGTCATGTTAAAGGTAAATAAAAGGAAATACAGTTTCTGAAATAGTCGATCTTATAGTCATGTTTTCCTTTACATGCATCAAAAAATTTGAGATGTAGGGACTGTTAATATTACAAATGATTTTATGTTCTTTACAACACTTCCTACAGGATTACAATACTTCCTACAATCCCGTTGGGCAGTAGCCTACACCATTTATTGCAAAGTATATGCATTAAAATAAATAAATTAGTAAACGCTTATTATTTATTGTTTTAATACAAAAATTGATTTTATTACAGTTTGACCAGGTCGATATCCAAACAAAGGTAAGTCTCTAGTTCCAACTATTCACTAGAACTAGATATAGAATTGATAAATAATAAATGTGCAGTACCGATTTTGACACGTTAGTATTCTACAGAAAAATGTGTGCCTACATCATGAATTCTACTCTAAAATTTGTATTTCATAGACCACAGTGGCCTATATAATATACCTGATCTTTTGCATAATATTACCAAGGCTCAGGGACAGACAAAACATCGCCACACTTCTGGGCTTCTATCTCAGCCTGTGTTTCAGCCTAGAGCAGTTACAAGTGGGACTGTAGATACCAGATACCTGTCCAAAAACCAACATGCATTTGATATGCATCAAATGATTTTTTACTCTTGCAGATTATTATATTTTTCTGTTGTAATTTGTGTTTAAAATGACTGTAGAAAATTGCATTTATTTCCAAAGGCCAAGCTTTACTTTTAAATTGTTATGGCTACCATCCTTGTTGTCGGGCTAGCAACTAGTTGTTTATAATTAATGTTAAAACTTATCTTACTAGGTACTTTGTTAGATATCAATTATTGTATATACAGAATGATTGATTGGTGGCATATATAGTACGGTAACTGGATTTTACTTGTTTTAGGAAGAGCTGGACGGAAGATTTACCAAGTACGCTGGAAAAACTATCTTTGTTGCGTATTATGATGCTGATTATCCATGTACTGATGAGTTAAAAGATAGAAGATGTCTTGCATACTTCAAAACATCAGTGACGGTGAGTGGACAATTGAATATTAATTGTATCTATAGAGCTTTTACTTTCTCCATTATACATGGTAAATGGAGAAATAATTGTTTTGTCAAAGTTTTTGAGTTCAGGCAAATTTCCCACGTTGGGAATAAGCTTGACCGTGGGTCTAATAGTAAGACCTGGACCCGAGACAGATTTACTTTTTTGTTTTCATGTCCCCAGAGGCAAAAAAAACTATCCGTCTAAATTCATATACTGTACATTAATTATTAATCTTTGTATTCTTTTATTTATGATAATAAAAGTTCTGAAGTATTCCTTTTGTTTTGTCTTACTCATAATATATGTGTCTGTTAGCACGATAAAACGATCAAAAATGAACAGTTTTTGATTAAATTTACTACAAACGTGTACATTTATTCTAAAAAGTTCATGAACCCGCTTTGCTCGGACCATGAGAACGAGGCTTTATGGGGTAAAAATTAGTTTTTTTTCTCATTTTTGACCGTCAAGACATAAAATTTCCCAATTTCTCTCCAAACCAGTCAAGAATCAAGAGTTTTATTGCCAATAACCTTTCTTTGTACAAAGGAATAGTCATAGTCAAAACACATACAAAACATTCCAAATTAACAAATAAAATACAAAGTTTAGAAAAATACTTTGTTAATTAACATATGACATGTCTAGAGAATATGGATCATGTAGATACACATCAAAATTCAATATAAACTTTTGTTTTAAGAAATTCATGGATGCCATAAAAAGGATTGCTTATCAACCATTCACATAATTTAGATTTGAATATCTTGAAGGATACAGTTCTGGCTGAATCAGGCAATTTATTAACAAAATGAATGCAGTTTAGTCTATGACTATTAGGTACTACCCTTTGTCTATGAGCTGTTATGTCTAACTGTAGTTTATTATTCCTTATTCATGTAGGTAAATGTTTGTATACTGTATTATTTGATAAATGTATAAATTAATTAGTGTTTAGCTATAAATAATCATGTTTTTGTTGTCAGAAATCTGCACCCACAATTGCTGAAACAGATGGTCATGAAAACCTTGTGCTTCTTTGGGTTGATGTCAAAAAAATCCACTTAGACACTGCTAAACATTTCAATGAAGTGTGTGCAAAAGCGGGAGTACCACAACTCCCAGTACTATACGTGGAATGGGAAGGGAGGGTAAGTAATCTGTAAATAGATTAAATCATCTTTAAGAAACTTTATTAACAAATGGCTTACTTTACATCAGCACAGTACCTTTATATCATTGTGATGGAATTCATGAGTCAATCAATATTCGTAATTTTGATAGCCTATATATTGCACTGTTTTCAATCTTGAAATAATTAACAAAAATACTATAATAATTATTTCACAAACAAATTAGGTAGTAGGTTTCTGTATTGAATCTAAAGACAACTAACTCTTCTAACAATAATTGAATCATTGAATAATCGTCATTGAATAACCATTGGGCATTGAACAATAATTGAATTCATTATAAATATCTAACATTAACATAGTATATAATATAATATAATTTATATATTATCATTTGAAAATTGAATCGTGTGGGTATATCATTTCCATAAATGCATCAGCGCCTCATACGCATTCGTACTAGAGGTAGCCTTATAAGTTAGCCTAGCCTTAAAGAAAGATATTTGTTAAACTAAGAGTTTCAATTGAGTTATGTTCCTGAAACCAAAGGGGAATGTGTAACTATTTTATACAACAGAATTCAAGATAATTTTTTTTCTCTTCAGTGTCCTTTCCGTTGTGAAGCAGTAAGCACGGGTACAACAACTAGTACTAAATAAATTTTAAGTTGAAAAACAAATATAACAGTAATTTAGATAAATTTAAAAGACAGACCAAGAGTAAAATTAATAAAATTCATAAAATCCTCCTTCCATTTAAAATTCCTAACCAAGCATGTTCAATTTTTAATCAGTAAAATCTTTGGGAAAATTTTGCTTGTCTTATACAACTGGTTTTCTCCTTGGCTTAAATTGTTTTTTTTTCAATTACACTTTTGTCTTTTTCGGATGGTCTCTTATTTTCTTTCATAAAATCTTTTCTTTTTCACAAGCTGTGATTTCTAATGGGGAAAATCTTTGTATTGATCTTTCCAAAATACCATTCCCGGTTTATACTCTTACAACTGTGGAGAAACCACCTCTCCCTTATTCGCTTGATGTTGTCATCTCTTACCTATCAATACAACTTCTCCAATAATGGGGTTTCTGTAGCTTGGTCTCCATAGCAGGGTTGAGAGAAATGCTTATTTCACAGTTTCAGACAGCTGATTTAAACATATTCAATTTAGCATTTTTTCATAACTACTAGCAGCTATAGGCCTACCCGTGCCTTGCAACAGGATCAGATTTTATTCCGGTTAAATGCACAACCGTGACAAGAAACATTGAATTTCACATTTTTTAAATTTAACTCATGTTGTACAACTCAAAGGTTTGCGGGCGGAGTTTCATCTGATTTTTTTTATCTGGCTGTGAGGTCAATGGTGATAAGGTTGGGCTACCCAACGGTAAGATCTATTCTGCCGTAGGATGCCACTTGATGTAGTGTCTCTGTCGACTGCCAGTACTGTTACCTAATACTTACCCTTCTTTTGTTCTGTTTAGTTGAGAGCTGTATACAGACAAGATCCCTCTGTATCGTTCTATGGAAAAGATGACTGTGCATCTCCTGGTAAAACTGATAAGAAAGGATCTGAAGGTGAAGGTGGACAAGCTGAAGGTGGTAAAGCTGAAGGTGGACAAGCTGAAGGTGGTAAAGCTGAAGGTGGACAAGCTGAAGGTGGTAAAGCTTAAGGTGGAAAAGCTGGTCAGTGAAGTACTGCACCTCTTTATCTTGTCAGAGATATTATTATATAATTAATATAATAATTTAAAATCATTCTACTTTTTTTCTTTTTCCTGTGTCAAACTGGATTCTGAGAAACTGACAAACTGATTCTGGAACTGAGTAATTATATCGTGTTGCAGGAACTTATCTCTCATTGATATTGATTCCTTATTATAGTTTTGCTTTGACACAATACATGTCATCTTAAAGGTTGTCAGCAGGCATGGGCTTAGGGTGAATGGCTCCCTGGGTGGCAAGCATCCCCTTATCAACTATAGGTCTTGCTGGGGACCTCCCTTGGAAATTAAAGTGACTGAACAAGCTTCAAGAACACTATTTTGAGGTTACTGTTTGAAATGTGTGTGTGGGCTTTTTTGTGATTTTAGCAAACAAAATCAAAACATATTGTGAAATAATATTACCAAAAAGACGCTTCAGAAAAGTGTGTAGGAATAAGAAAAAAAAAACATTTTTATAAATTAATTGACGAGTAAAAAAATGTGAAGGCACAAATTTGTTTTGGAAAGTCATAAAAGTGTTTTAAAGACAGAGGACTTTGATATGGTTGTAGGGAACATTACACCTGATATGTGAATAAATCACTTAAGCATTTGATCAACCCGCCGCCTTATAGTCAATGCCGCCGCTGTCGTCTGCTTGCGAAAGTTTCGTTGACAAGAATTTTCACTACTCACTGAGCTCAAGAGTATGATGTGATACAACTTCCAGTTTAGACAGGAGGCCGTATGAGTATTTTTTTTTTAATTTTCCTGATGATGTGTTTTTTTCTTTTGTGTGTGTTTTAACGCCAGTGGCATTATTTTTTACCTTTTGAAAGGGGCCGGTCCAAAACCCTGGTCTTGTTAAACTATAAAGTTGTTACTATATATACTTGTCTTGTTAAGTTAAAGTTGTTAGAGGCTTACAATAAAATGCTTTTAGAAGGTAATTTGGCACACACTTTTAAACATCCAAAATGTTGTTAGCCTATCATACATAAAAAGGGGATAAATTGGTTAAAAATTAAATATTTTTAGGTTAAAAATTGGGTTTGTCATTCATCGATTACATTTATTATAGGTTGCATTTAGAAAAGGTGTTAGGTACCTATAAAGATAAGCCTAAAAATTGTTGGGGGGTTTTAAATGAATTGGCGGGTAGAAGCACTCAACATGGCATTTTCAACAAACACATTAAACAAACCATAGGCCTACCCAAACACTGACGTCAATCCGAGACCGCGGGGGGTCAATGAATTCAACGTCTGTTTTACTCGATCAAGTTGGTTCAAACATTGCAGCTATAATTGATTAAAGTGGTCCACCTGCGGTCACGACTCTGACTATGCTGTTGACACTGGAGTCTAACTTCGCTGTATCATCGCGATGTTGTCTCCTGGTGCTGCGGGGGGGGGGGGGTGGAAATGATTCTCCCTCCACCTCCCCTCTAGACGGCGTCCAAACAAGCCCGCGTTGTTTTACATGCATATAGCCTATGCCGCAGTTTTTCAATAAGTTAAAAAATGAATATTTAAAAAATTAAACTGTCATAAACTAACCTAACCAACCGAACTTGCTGATTGTATAAAAAGAAGAAATAAAATAAAAATCGAATGAAGGTTTACTAATCAAAAAAATTGTTCTGTTCATAGAATAAAATTATAAATGCCTCAAATTCAATTTTATAATTTATTAATTATAAAATTAAACTGTCATAACCTAACCAAACTTGCTTATAATGAAAAAATCGAACGATGGTTTACTAATAGAAAAAAAATATAGTTCTAAAACTATAATAGCTCAAATTGAATATTTTAATTATCAAATTTAACCGTCATAACCTAACTAAACTTGCTGATAATGCAAAAAATCTTAGACAAAAAGTACATGCCACCGAGAGGATTCGAACCTACTACTTTACAGTCAACGCTACTACCTTCAGTTTCTCAGCCCGGCACGTTATTCATTACTCATTAGTCCACCGAGGCCGATGGCTCCAAACCGTATCGTTCCCTCAGCCAATGGAATGCTCTTCCCCAAAATTGTGCTTCACCCACTCCGCAGTGCCAGGGGACAACATCGTGATGATTTAGCGATAGACTACAATTGCTGACGACTCCGTCCTCACACAGCACACTGTCACGAGAGGATGCTCAGCTTCAGGGTATGATTGTGTATCAGCTGATTTACTCAAGGACAACTGGGAATCAATAAAACAGCCACTTTTACCCGATCACTTTTACATGAGTATCCGGAGGGAAGTTTACTCCGACGCCTACAAAATCACTAAGATTGTTCCTCTATTCAAGTCAGGAGACATGAATAGAGACTTCAAACTTTAGGCCAATCTCATTGCTGAATGTATTTACCAAGGTTTTGGAAGAAATAATTAAAGACACCAGCTAACTAAAAACTTAAATCATTATAACCTTTTAAAAAAATAAAAATAAATATTTCTGACGCTTTGAAGTTAACAAAGACATTAATTTAGCTGTTAAGAAAAGAAAAGAAACAAAATTGTGCTCGTATTTTTTATTTAGCAAAAGCCTTCGACTCTGTCGACGGATCAATAATTTTAAAGAAAATGGAGTTAATAGGAATAAACAACATTGGAATGGTTTAAATCATATTTTTTTCAGAAAGAAAGCAATTTGTAGCCATAAATGGAGCTTAGAGCAATTAAGCTGAAGTGGACTATGGCGTAGTTCAAGAAAGTACCCTTGGTCCTTGTCCTTTGTTATTTTAACATCTATCTATACTTATAAAAGGCAAAGCCCTCACTGACACACTCACTCGTGGGTCGCCAGAATGGTCTCCCCCAGAAACGTCACCCCCCAGGCTAAACGTGACGTCACAAAACCAGACAACCAGCTGGTATAAAATCTATGTCCACGACCGGAATCGTACCCCCCCCCCCCCACCAAGGACTTGACAAGTAATTTATCAAAGTCTAGTTGATACAAAATAATTATGTTATTAATTTTAATTCAAACAAGTAGAAACGGAAAGGTCTCCCCCAGCAAGGCATACCCTATGTACACCCCGGAATCGTCCCCCCCTGAAACGCTACCCCTAGTAGGGATGGCTGGGCTGCTCGGCTGCCCGTCCTCCTCAGGCCATTGTTTTGAGGGTCGGCAGCTCGTTCATTATTATTGTCGCTAGGGCAATAGCTTTTTTCTACTTAAAAAATAGCAGACCCTATGGTGGAATATCAATCAGTAGATTTAGATGTGTATAAACTTCTAAGACAACTAAACAATACGAGCAAAGTTTGACTTTAAAAAATGATTATTTTATACTTAATTCATAAAAAAACTACCAACGATAATGCTTAAAGTATACATTTTTCTGTTTTATTAAATAGTAGCTATACTTATCAACATCAGTAAACTTACCTTACACCCTATGGTAATTGTTAAGCAACACATTAATTTGTTAAAAATAGAATAATTTCTAAATGTATTAAAAATAAATTGCATTGCTTTAGGGTTGGATTCGATTTCATTGATCTATATATTAATACGCAAGCAGTTTTCTTTTCACAGTCATTGTCATAACTCAATAACGGCTATATGGATTTTAAAGTTTGAGGTGTCAAATTAAAGGTATTTTCACGTAGATGTGCAAATACGTCTCAGAATATTTAGAAAGGGCACCACTTAAGGGCTTAAGTTCGAAAGGCGACGCTCTCTGTTGACATTTGATCAAACTCATTTCCCTTTGTTTACAAATAACATATGGACCTATGGACGTAGTCTATCTATATATATAAAGTACAATGTATGTTTGTATATTTGTATGTTTGTCCTTTATGGACTCCAAAACCGCTCGACAGATTGTAATGGAACTTTTAGGTATTATGAAGCATTATTCAAGGATGGTTTGTGTGAAGTTTGGTGCAGATCCGTCAATAGGGCTCCGCCCCAGTGGCTCTGGAGTTTCCCATGTTAACCTTATGAGTACTCATATTTTAATGGAATTAAAGAATCTTAACAGCTGGTGCAGCTAAACAATTTGATTCTGTGATGTTCAATAGCATTAAAAAGTTAATAGGTTTACCAACAGGGTGCAGCACTATATTTTTTTTTATTTATGAGAACAGCTAATTTGCAACCAAAAGGTGAGTGAGCGTAGCGAACGAACTTCAACCTGGAGGCGAGTTAGCGTAGCGAACGAGCTAACCTGAAGGCAAGTGAGCGCAGCGAACGAGCTCCAACCCAAAGGTGAGTGAGCGTAGCGAACGAACTTCAACCAGGACGTGATTGAGCCATGCGAACGAGCTCATCTTGAAAATGAACGAGCATGTGACATAAAACCACAATAGGACAGGACGACGTCTGTCGGGCCAGCTAGTTTGAAATAGTTTTTAAGGTTAACCACAGACTGCTAGCTGCAGGACTGCTGTTTCAATCTGTTAACTAAGTCTGGTTCATAATGAAGAGTTTCCTATCAATACTAGAACAAAGTGTTTAAGAATAAATATTTAATTCTTTTTGTCTATGGTTAAATTGATTTACCTTACATCGTATTTTACTGGTTATCATGTGGTTACAGTTCGATGTGATGAAGTGAATGTTTAAAAGGGATTATTCACAGGGCAGTTATCAGTTACATTACCATATTATCATGTAATTTACAATGTGTATCAAAATTCCAATTCCTTTATAATGTTTTCTGGTGTTTTTCGTAAACTTTCTTATTTCATTTCAATTTAAAATCAAATGCCGCCAGTACGACGAAGAACTGTGAGTGGCTGGAGGGAACGCGAACATGACCGTTTGCATCAACCTTTCAATTGAACATTTGATGGGTACATAGTGATAGTACCACCGTTGTGATAGTCCAATCTCGGACAAATGAACGTTAAATGTTTACATTGTAGTGGCTTACATATTTTTAAGCAAGAAAAAACTGGCCGAGACAGTTAAAGTAGGTACTCTTTGTTGCCGTAAATGA